AAATCTTTTAAAGATAAATCCAATATGTTGACTATTTGTGTGGTTTTGATTGGAAACCTGAGTACAGACCCAAATCGAGAATAAATGAAGAATTTGTTTATGATGTGAAATTTAAAATGACTTATTAAAATAAATCATGAGAATAAGTAATGTGAGAACCTTTTATGACAAAGTTCAATAAAAATCAGTTTTGACTCTGTCAAAGTCAAACACTCAAAAATATGATGTTAGAAAAAGTATTTCAAATAAATATAAAAATTATATCGATGAATAGAGTTTGACTGTCTGATCGCAACGGTGTAACCAGAATTTGATTCGGAGAAAATTGGACCAAAAAGTATACCCCGATTGGGACCGAAATTAGTCCCAATCAGGGACGGCGCCTCCTCCTCCACTAAGAAGATACGTGGATTGGAATGCTACAACAGGCTTAGAAGCTTTCCCCATCTCCTTCCTATATAAGACTACCAAAGCTTAACCATTTCTTCACCATTTCTTAAAATATTTCTTCCTATTCTGTTGCTCTGAGTGAGGAGAACGCAGTGGTGTTGTCAATTTGGTGTGAAGTCGCCGGAGTTGAGAGTTATCATTGCCGAAAGTTTCGCCGGAAAATTTCCAAAACCCCTGTTAAGCTTCAAGGTAAGCCCGTAGATATATCTAATGACTAGGATGTTCATATAGGTCGTTTCTACGTTCATAAATGGTCATTTGGTTGAGTTTTGTGTTTGACATGCTTGAAGAACCAAGAATCATAAACCTTGAAATTGTTGTTAAAACTTCGAATTAATGGTATTTAAATGATCTATGAACATTGGAGAACATTTCTATATGGTTTAATTTAAGATTGGTGACTTAAAATGATGTTTCGAAAATTTAACCCGGGGTTGAAGACGAAGTACTGTTGCTGGTATACAGCAACGGTCAACCGTTCTGTCACCACGGTCGACCGTTTTAGGACCACAAGCTCCAGTACTACGGTAGCAATGACGGTCGACCGTCGCCTGAAAACGGTCGATCGTTCCGAAGACAGTCAACTACGAAAAATGCTATTTTTGAGTTCTAAAATCCTATTTTTGATACCAATTAATTATGAACAATATAAATATGATTTTGTACAATCAAAATGATGTTTTTGGCATATAAAACATTATGTAATGCATGACGGTAAGTTCGAGTGTTAACACTCGATGCTAGACCGCTAAGAGTCTGGTTATGAAAATTAATTGCCTTTTTAAGAGTCTGGTTATGAAAATTATGATCTGGCCTTAGACTAAGAATAGCTAAGAGCATTGTTATGATATTGCCTTAGACTAAGAATAGCTAAGGGCATTGTTATTATTTGGCCTTAGATTAAGAAAAATTTAAGAACACTGTCGAAATAATATCTGAATTGAATAAAATGTGTTGTTATGAACGAAACAATATCAAAATTGTGAATGTCTGAAATGAACATTGTGTGCATGATATCAAATGATTTGATTATGAATTTAGATTCAATTTATATGGATTTTCGACGCATTAGTTATGCTTACTCAGCTTTACCGCTGAGCGTGTAGTGTGTTTTATGTGATACACGCAGGTAAACAGAAAGATTAATGTGATCCTGGTGGTAGATGGGGCGAGATTGTCGGGATGGATGTGACAAGTTTGAAATGATTTATGATATGTCAACAATAAATTCGCTTCCGCAATATTGTTGAATACTCCGTACTGTATATGTTATGAAAGATACTATTGTGATAAATAAAATGTGTAACACCCTAATCCGTCCAGGTCTGCAGCCCCATTCGGACTAAAGTATTTAACTTGGTAATCGTAAAAATTTAAAACTTTTCAAACACACTTGATTAATCCCAATAATATTTTTCATAACATATACAGTACGGAGTATTCAACAATATTGCGGAAGCGATTTTAATATTGACATATCATAAATTGTTTCAAAACTTGTCACATCCATCCCGACAATCTCGCCCCATCTGCCGCCAGGATCACATTGTGCTTTCTGCTTACCTGCGTGTAGCAAATAAAACACACTACACGCTCAGCGGTAAAGCTGAGTAAGCATATCTAATGCGTCGAACATTCATATAAACTGAATCTAAATTCATAATCAAATCTTTTGATATCATGCACACAAGGTTCGTTTCAGACATTCACAGTTTTGATATTATTCAGTTCATATCAACACATTTTATTCAATTCAGATACTATTTCAATAGTGCTCTTAAATTATTCTTAATATAAGGCCAGATCATAACAACGCTCTTAGCTATTCTTAGTCTAAGGCCAGATCATAATAATGCTCTTAACTATT